GCAGGCAGCCGAGGGCGCGGCGAGCAGGGAGCGGGCAGGGCACGGAGCGAACCGATCCATCTTTCCGGCTGCAAAACGGAAGTACATAACAGAGGGCTTTGAGGCGCGCGAGATTAATAATACTCTTTCGTCGGCGCTATTTTTCACCCCTTTGAGCCCGGCCGACTCTTTCCCGCGCTTTCGCGCAGTGGCGCGAGCAATGATATAAACCCTCGACGGATCAGAACGCAGCTCCCCTTCCTCCCCCCCCTCGGAAGGTGTGGGGGAGGGGGGTATATTAGCGTAGATCCATCACAGGTTTGACGCGCTCCTCTTAAAACTTCATCTGTTAGCGCCGGACTGTCCAGAATGTCAGGACCTTTCCCCCAGGCCCCCTTCTCTCTCTCTCTCTCTCTCTCTCTCTCTCTCTCTCTCTCTCTCTCTCTCTCTCCCTCTCCGCCCACCGCGAGGCTTGGAGAGCATCCCCATGGCCGCCATTTTTATTGGACTCACCGTTTCCCTTTTGGCCACCGCAGTTTGCATTCGGTCGAGCCGAGTTCGTCCCAGAAGCTCGTTTACCAGACCGATGTGCTTCTTGTTGGCTCAGGTTCGATGCCCGCGCCTCGCAAATATTATTTTTTATTTGGTTTTTTAAAAACGGCGCAGGTTTATCCTGTTGGAAACGCGTTGCCCGAAAAAAAAGACGCGCTCACCAATGAATACCAAAGGACGGCCACCTGTTGGCACGCGGTGCCGCGTATGACGTCATAGAGTCTGATGACTTAAAAGGTCCTGATGTTTTCCCTCTTTTAATTTTCCCCCCTCCCTCTCTCTCTCTCCTTTTTGGTCGTTATTTGATAACAATTGACGCTTGATGAGGCGAGCTATGTGCCCCCTGCGCATTTGCAATTCAGATTGGTCCGCGGTACGGACAAGCCCGTCGGTGCATCGAGCGATTTGGCACTCTGTCTCTCTCGCACCCCTACGGGCCCTACGGGTCGTCCCGCGACTGCGTGGACGCTTCGGACGCGGTCCGCTACAGCGGCTCGAGAAGAAAGGCTTTCCTCGGCCCGTCCCTCCCACTCTACTTTCTGTTACCAGTGCGGCGAGCCGACGCAGCCGGCGCCTCGAGGGGCTGACAAATAGGGGCGTTACCGCGTTGGCATGGCGTTGCCGCTCGCGCCGCACAGTGGGCTGGAAGACCGGTGGAGGCGCCCGAAACTCCAGACGTGTTTTGAGCTGCAGAGTCGCTCAGCAGGGCCAGTGACCCCACCAATGGATTCCTCGTTTGGAGAGCAGTCCATTGGTGGGGTCACTCGCTCGGTTCGAGTCCCATTTTGCGACTCCACCGGTCTTCTGGCCCACTGTGCGCGGTCGAGACGCGTCTACTCGAGCCCCCCTCGCCTCGACGGCCAACGCGTCGGCACTCGTTCCCGACCATGACACTTGATTCGGCTTTGATTCCGTCATATTTGCTCCCACGCCCACTCCCACACCTGCGCCTGCTCTTTTTCACAGTGCTCCCCCTCCCCGTGATTACCGCGAGAGAGGGGGAGAGGGAGAGAGAGAGAGACAGAGAGCGAGAGACAGAGAGAGAGGGGGGGGGGAGATAGAGAGGACTGGCTAGAAGGCAGAGGCGAAACGCATGTTGTTTTTCGTGGGGATAAGTTAGGGCCGCGTCTAGTCATGTATGGAGCGGCATGGAGGGCGCCCGCGCCCCGCGGCTACACTGTGGCCTCCGACTAGCTTACCCCCGCCCCTCCCACCGCCTCCCCTTAGGGCTTTTACTCCGCCCTACAGTGGCCTCACCTCCCGATGGGAAGGGCTGTACTCCTTTCAGTCGTCCTCGGTTCGAATCGACGGCACCCACTTCGATGCACAGTGGGCCAGAAGACCGGCGGGGGCGGCTAAAATCCCGGACGCGTTTTGAGCTCCAGAGTCACGGAATGGGACTTGAACCGAGCGTGCGACCCCACCAATGGATTCCTCGTGCAGAGAGCTATCCATTGGTAGGGTCACACGTTCGGTTGGAGTCCCATTCAGCGACTCTGTAGCTCAAAACGCGTGTAGTGTTTCGGCCGCCTGCGCCGGTCTTCTGGCCCACTGTGTGTCGCCCTGTGCACTGTTCGCCACGCTCCCACTTGGACTCCCCACTGCCCCCACTCCCCACTTCCGGTTCCCCTCCCCTTCGCCACAACCCCTCCCAAGAGGATAGGGGTTGGTATTGTATAGCACAACAGCGATTGCAGTGCAAGTCGGTTGAAAGAAGGAGAGAGAGAGGGAGAAAAAAGTGTTGGAGGGCATGAACACAAAAAGCCGCCAGGCCCGCGATAGGCTGGTAGATCCTCGAAAGGGAGAGGGTCAGGAAACAGGCGGCCGGCCTCGGGGGCCTCGACACTGGGAAAAAGACGGGGGAAAATGGGACAGAGTTGAAGGATTTTACCAGCGTGGATTTTAGCAGCGTGGATTTTACCAGCGTGGATTTCACCAGTGTGGATTCTGCGCGGGTATGAATGTTGAGTGTGGAGGCTGTGCGCTTTAGGAAGCGGCGTTGGAAGGCCTGGGCGGTGGTTGAGCAGACTGCCGCTGGAGGCGCTAGTCGCAGGCTGGAGAGCCGGCAAGAAAGCCGACACGCGTACCTGGGACGTGCGGGGTGGCGCGGGCGGCGGGGCGGGGCGGGGCGGGGCGGGGCGGGGCGGGGCGGGGCGGGGCGCGGCGGCCCGCGGTCCCCGTGGAGTGCGGGGTGCCGCGGCGGCTGGAAGGGGACCACCGCACCGCGCCCGCCGTGCGGGGCTTCAAACAATTGGCCAACCTACAGTCACAAACAATGCGCGGGAGAGGCTTTCACTGCGTCTGTGTGCGTGTCTACGGGGAACGTGCAGAGCGATTCCCTGCCGGCAGGAAACACCGGCGTCGCATCCGATGAGCCGTGTGGGTGTCGGACTTCCCCTGCACCGTAAGGATCGAGGACTGCAAACGCACGCGGGAAAAAGACACTCGGGGGTTTCCGGCCGAAAATGCTGACGCAGGAGGAATATAAGGTAACGGCTTCTTTGATTCATGCCCCAGTCTCTCCGTCTCTCTCCCTCACGTCAGGACTCTCCGTCCTGTCCTTCTCGCACTGAGGGGTGTGCTCGGGAAATGAGGGGTTAACCCCTTAATGCCTGCTGTGCGCACTGTGCGTGGGTCGCAGGGCACACATGCCTGCGGCTGCCTGCGGCTGGCCCCCCTTCCTTCCACTCCACGCGGCTCACCCAACCTGCGGTAGGGTCGGCTGCACCCTGCTGCCAGCCCCGCCAGCCCCGCCAGCCCCGCCAGCCCCGCCAGCCCCGCCAGCCCCGCCAGCCCCGCCAGCCCCGCCAGCCCCGCCAGCCCCGCCAGCCCCGCCAGCCCCGCCAGCCCCGCCAGCCCCGCCAGCCCCGCCAGCCCCGCCGTGGCACTGCGGTGCGCGGCGGACGGCGGCGGACGGGACGGCCGGGCTTGCGTGAGACCGACACAGGCCGGCGCGTTTCGACCCGCCAGTGCCAAATTTCCTCCATTTCAGGAGCCGTCTGTCTCGTCAACAGCGAAAAATCTCCAACTCGGGGTTTCAAGTCTTTTCTCGTGTGATTTCAAAATGATCTGTGTCCTCAAAGCAAGACAAAACTGAAATCAGTCTGAAATTGTGCAGCGTTCAGCACATGGTCCTTTCACGATTTCAACCGCCGGGTACCCCAATAGCCTCCAAGCCGCCAAGAGATTGTCTCGGAACAATATGAAGAAAAAAAAGGGAATGAAAAGTTGTGCTTCCTTTTTAATCCTCGGTCCACGTTTATCAGTTATCAGAATTTCCTTCCACCCGAACGAACCTTGGCTTCCGCCCAAGGCGGTGGACGTCAAAGCGTTTTAGTCTGCGGAACTAAACACGACCGACCGACAACAACAACAACAACAACAACAACAGCAAGAGAAAAAGAGAAAGAAAAACTGAAGCGAGAGGGAAGGGGGCGCGATGAAGGCTCGTTTCCCGCTCTGCAAAGGCAGCCGAGAGACACAACCTGTAGATATCAGGTGAGGTAACCGTATAACCAACCGTGCTTGTGTTCCTTTGCCTCCATTTGCATTTCCCTTCTTTCTCCTTCCGACTGACTCGACTTCCGAATTTGTTTCTCAAAGGGCGTATCCAGCGGCGTGATAGCGACTGGGGGGAGGGGGGAAGAAGGGGGAATAATGCGGAACCAAGTCTCGCGACTGATTCGTCACAAGGCACACGACGTAAAAATAACACTGAGAAACGGACGAAATAGGGGTGAGGAATTTTTATCCAGCAGCACAGCGTGGACGTTGACGAACTACCTCCAGCGATGTAGACGCAAGAATTTTTTTTCCCTCTTGGAAGGATAAACGCGAAGGGTTGCGGTAGATTTCTAAAACAGTTGAAAACGACACCGTAAAAAATTCCGTACTTTTGTACGGTAAAGGTACAGACGAAAATAGCACGGAAGTACGGAAAAAAGTACGGGACGTCCGTACTGTCCCATAAGAACTCATGTAATCGGGTACGGAAAAATAGTACAAAACTTCCATGGACAGGAACGGACGGTCCAGGCAAATTATTGACCAGACACGTTCCGTACTTTTTCTGTACTTTCTTCTCGCAGTGGATAAGCAGTCAAAAAAGTGGCGTCTTTGGAGGAGGCCCTGCCCGGGTGGGAGTGGTGATGGATTGAAACCGCCGCTACCTTTTGTCGAGTCGACGTTGCATATTTGCACTTTCAATTGTACATGGAAAAATCGAGCAAAAGCCATTGGTCCAGAGACCCCCCCCCCCTTTCCTCCCCAAGGGGGGATTAAAAAAAATACTGTACTTTCCTTTTTTTTTTTTTCGAAAAAAAAAGTAGACATTGTCACATTTCTTTGGACTTGAGTTACAAGAACTGCTATCCTGTCATGATATACTTTTCACTGAAATCATACGTCAACGCAACAAAATGCAAAGAAAAAATTAATGAAAAATTCGGGGGTGATATGAACCCACGCACCTGTTAGCAGGATGACGGCCAGGACGAGGATGTGCGTCCGGTAGGGCGACATGGCTGGGCCGCTCGACTATCCGTCTCACTCACTCACTCTCCACTGCCACCCCAATCACTCGTCACTCCGCGTCACTACGCGCCACGCGGCGAGTCACTCTGTCACGGCGCGGGGGCCCGACCGGCGTGGACGGCGGCGCGTCGCAGCCATGGCGGCGTGTGTCGTGCTGGCTGAGCTCCCCGACTCGGCGCTTGGGCCCCTCCAATGGCTACTGGGAGCGCTGGGGCCGCGCCGTCTGCCTGGCCCGCCTCGCCCGCCTCGCCGCGCGGGGCCTTTGCGGTGGGGGCCGCCCCGCCCCGCCCCGCCCACCCACCCCGCCGCCGCTGCAGCCGACACTTGTGGAGCGCTCGGCCCACCGGGGGGCTCACCGGGGGCGCGGCTGGCTGGCCTAGGGCTGGCCTGCCCCCGCGACGGCGGCCCCGCGGAAGGCCCGCCCAACACCACGGTGACCAGCAAGGCCCACAACGGAGTCCTCACCTTGGCAAAAAAAAACAAGTTGTAAAATTTTTAAATTAAATAAAATGGAATTTTTAGTTTGAATGTTACAGAATTTTCGTGGTTATCAACATAAACCGAAACAGGAAGGCCCACAACCACTCCTCACCTCGGCCATAGAAATACTATACAAAATTTTAAAATTCAAAAAAATTGGAATTTTTAGTTTGAATTTTACTGCATTCTGGAACTGGATTCAGGAAACTCTGATCATCTTCGAAACTGAACCCGCTGTTGACGATTCGCGTTGATGGGCTTCAGCCGACCCAGGCCAGGCATTTCGGGCCCGGATTGTGGCTGGGTAATATCACCCGCCAGATCGGCAGCGGCTTGCGCTGTGGATTAGAATGGATGGCCGCTGTGGGGGAAGTCCGCCTGGCCGCCCTGGCCGCGGGGGGAGAAGAGAAGGCGGTGCAAGGAGCAGCAACGCTGTCTCTCTCGCACTCATGGGGCGCCCGTGTTGGTGCGAGAGAGACAGAGCGACGAATCTCGCGGTCTGCTGCACGCTGCCAGGCGCCTCAATCCACCAGTGAAGGTGGCTGCCGACAACCACGGTGCCACGAGCGGGAAACAAAACCAACTTAGAGAGTGCCGCTCCGCGGAGGGCCTGCTGCGGTCGAGGGCATCGCATTCGCACTCGAGGTTAACACTCACACCGCGGCCGTGTCTGCGAGTGTAGCGCCCCACCGCCCTGCGACCCACCCCGCGGCGCCCCGCCCCGCCCCGCCGGCCAGTCAGAGCCTAATGAGGAACAGGGGGGAGGTGGTATCTCTGGCTGCGGGCGAGGCCGGGCGGTGGGGGTGACAGGGGGAGGGGGAGACTTGAAGACAGCTGTCACCGCCTGCCACAATCATTTCGTTCTGCTCAACACGCACACAGCGGCTAAATATGCACAAGGCGCAGACGGAAATTAGACGCGGTAGACGGCCTGGCTGCGTGATGCCCTGGCAGGAGAGAGAGAGGGGGAGAGAGAGAGAGAGAAGAGAGAGAGGACAATGGCGGCACAGACAGCCGAGGAAAATGTCAGCGCCTCGCGACAAAGCCGCGCGTTACAACGCCAAAAGTCTTGGCGCCACCGGAACAACGCTCCTGGGTGCGTTCCGTCTTCCACTGCTCCACTGTAGGCTCGGCCCGTGGCTTGGCCCGTAGGCTCGGCCCGTAGGCCTGGCTGGCTGCTCGGCCTGGCCGCCACTTCCGCGGTGAGGATGAAGCCGTGACGAGCCGCAGCTTGAAACGTTACAAAATATTTTCAGCCAAACAACTTTTTTGATTGTCCACTTTCGCTTCGAACACTGTTTTGATGCCGGAGCTCCGCGTTCAAGGCTGAAGAGTTGGTCAGCCCGAACGGACAGGTATCATCAGCCAGCAGAGCTGGGGGGTGTGCTCCACCCCACCCCGCCCCACCCCGCCCTGCCCCGCTCCGCGGCGCGGACCAGAAGGCCCCGAGGATGGCCGTGGGCAGGCCGTGGGCACGGTGGTGGTTCGGAATCCATTACCATAATCAGCCGGCTGCAGTCACAAACAACAGGCCCCCGTAAGGCCCGTAAGGTCCATGCGGCCCGTGAGGTGGTCGATGGCGGACTGTCTATACCAGATTACCGCCACCCCTCACTCTTCTTCTGCTGGACCTGCCCTCTCGCCCTTTCCGGAACACCCCCTGCCACCTGTGACCTCCCCCTCCCCCTCTAACGACTCCCCCTCCCCTCCCCCAGCAGGTCTGACAAGAGCGGCCCTGCCATCATTAACTCGGCAGACAGGGAGCGACAGGAAAACGTCTTGTTTGTTGCGGGACGGGCGCATCGGGCGCACAGTGGGCCAGAAGACCGGCGGAGGTGGACAAAAGTCTAGACGCGTTTTGAGCTCCAGAGTCCGCTAAATAGGCCTCGAGCCAAACGTGCGACCCCACCAATGGATTGCTCTTCGAACGAGAAATCCATTGGTGGGGTCAAACGTTCGGTTCGAGGCCTATTTAGTGACTCTGGAGCTCAAATTGCGTCTAGACTTTTGGCCGCCTCCGCCGGTCTTCTGGCCCACTGTGCGCTCTTCCTCGTCGAGGACCACGCCACCCTCACATTCCCTTGTTGCGCGCAGATGGCTGTCGCTTTCGTAATCGTTTTGGCCGCCGTCAACAACAAAGCTGCTTCGGCCCCGAGCGCCTGTCAACGGGCGGGTAGGCAACCCGGTGCACACCGAAGCGGCGTACGGCCTACCCCGCAGGCGATTGCGATTGCGATTAACGGCTGGACCACAAGTGATCGTCTGCCTTTCGGGCCCGCCCCGCCATGTCGGTGATACACCAGCACGTGACGGGTCGTCCCTACTGAGAGTAGTTGTTTTCTCGGTAGACCGGGAACATACGCCCCGCATCTGGGTATGTAGCGGGAGCAGCCGATTGGCTGTTCACCCCTACACACCTTAGCCGAGTCTGACACTCCCCTTGCTTCACCCCGTTTCTAGGGCAGTGTTGAGCAGGTCTTCTAGTTGCTTCACCTCTTCACTCCTACCCTCCTCTTGATGCGACCTTGTAGTTGTGGTGTCTGTCCGTACCCCGCAGGCGCTTCAAGGTGCTGACACAAAAAAAAATATTAAAAAATGAAAAATTAGACACAGGACAACCTGGATCGAATTTTTAAACACTAACAGCTTGCAGTATGTCCAAACACTTGGAGAAAAATTTACAAGCAGTCAAAAAATGTCAAAGAAACGATGTAGTAAGATCGATGAGTGCTCAAAAAATACAAAACGTTAAAAAAATAATGTTCTTGGGGCGGTTAACAACAACAATCCACCAGCAGCGACAACAAAGCGGAAAAGTTTTGGCACGCCGAGGTTGGCGAGATTGTTGGCGGGAAAGCGACGCATTTAATTAGCGGCCCGACAGTGGCGCGACGCGGCTCACGCCTTGGCTGCCTTGCAGAGAGGGGGGGGGTAGGGACAGCCGGGGATCTCCGATTCCCACCTCGTTTTGGCCCTGCACTGGAAACGGCAGGGGGCTTGAATCTGGGGGTGGGGGGGGATTCATCCCGGTCCAAAGTCGACTCTAAATCCCGAAATCCACTTTGAAACCGGAAACGGCCCGAACGGCTCCACAGCTGCTTTCCAAGTCTGTGGTGGTTCGTCTCCGCCAATAAGCAGCATGCGGTTTTTTTTTGTTGTTGTTTGTTTTTACCCGCCATGCAGTGAATCAAAGTTCCCGCACTCGCAAAACACAGAATCGAATGCGAAACTTCGTGGCGGGAAATTCGAAGTCGCAGAGGGCCGGCTTGGCGGGTTGCGGATCAAAAGGAAGCCATGCTGCTAATTCGATTACGCCCTGCGAGCGGACGGCCGACGCACTGCTGCCCCGGTGGCAGCGCTCGGCGAGAAAAATATGAGACCGGAAGTGTGCTTTTGTTGTTGTTTGTTGGCGTTCAAAGAGCGAAGAAAGCGAAGGTGGCAGCCCTGTTTACGAGCTAGCCGCGCTCTGAGCCCCGCGGAGAAGGCGGTGACTTGCGGTGCCGGTGACGTGGGCCGCAGTAAAGTAAGATCGTGTCAGATGCGGCGAGGATAAGCTTTGCGCGGAGAACGGCTGCCCCTTCGAGGAGCTGCTTTCATTTCACACGCAGATTTTTTTTTCGTTTCTTTTTCTTTCTTCTTTTATTGAACTGGAAAGACTTCACACCTGTGCCAGCACCAGAAGCCACTTCCTAGAACACCCGGCAACCCAAGAGTTTGCCAGTGACACTTTACGCACATCGGTAGTCTTAGAAGTCTATAAACAAACCAAAAAATGCATACTAGCAGAACCTTTTTATTTTCTCTGGCCCTTTTTCGGCGTTACGTAACGCTGCGCAAGGGCTGTGATGGGGCGTGCGTGCGGGTGCCGTGGGTTTGTGTGGGCCGTTGCCAAGCCGTTGCTCAGCAACAGGTAAACAAGGTGATTTATCAAAGAATGACGGGGGTTGTTGAGGCGGGTGAGCGCGGCCAAGGCGGTCACCCAGTCAGCTGGGCGCTTCGGGGGCTTCGTGGAGTACGGGGTGAGTTGCCGGCGGGCGCACTTCACGAGCCAACTAGCTGTGCCACAGCAAAAACTGTTCTGAAAAAGCACCCTTTTTAAAAAGCTTCAGAACATGTGTTTGTTTAAAAAAAAAAACAAGCTGACATTCGAAAATAAGAACAATTACACACACCACGAAAACGGTTTAGTTTCTGTTCAGTTCAAAGTTAATAATACACCCAGTTTTGATCCAGCCTGTCTATATTGTCTTCTTTTTTTGGAGGACGTTGAAGCAGATGGCGGACCAAGATAAGTACAAAAGGGCTCCCGCTTCCCCCCCCCCCTTTCCCCGCCGACCAAAGACAATCCTGTGAATCTCGTCCTGGCGTCGCGTCCCCGCAGTCCTGCGGCAGTCCTTCGCGGGGCGGGCCCTGCCGAGGGCCCTGCAGGGCAGGCCAGCGCCGTCCGAGGCGTTCCGAGGCGAGCCCTTAAATCGGCCAATCACGCTCCGCGAAGGACGAAGGACCTCCGTTTACTCGGAGGAGTTGGGCCGCCCGGCCCGCAGACTGACTCCGAGGGTCGTCGCTCTGTCTCTCTCGCACCCATACGGGACGTCCCATGAGTGCAAGAGAGACAGAGCGACGAAAACCACTCTCTGAATCAGTCTGGCGCGCGTCGCTTCGCGTGCCGCCGATTAATAGCCACGTACTCGGCGAGATTCGC